CATCAGTGTTTAATATATCTGAACTTCTTAAAGGATAATACACTTGGGTTTTTTGACTATCACCATTTACTAATTGTCTTTCATATTCACAAGATAATGATAACTGACCTCTTTTATTTTTAAATTCTTGTTTTTCAATCAATTTTTTAATTTCATTTCTTTGTGATTCTAAATATTCAGATATATCTAAATCATCATTTGAATTTGTTAAATAATACTCTTGAAAATAACCTTTTAATGATGACACTTCCTGAATATTTATTACATTTTCCTTTAGAATTGGTTTATTTTTTAAATGATCAGTTAATAATCCAATCAATTCTTTTCTAGTTTTATCTTTTATTTTAATACCATTTTTAATTGATAGATTTTGAATAAATTGTAATGATCTATATTTTAGATTATTAGGATTTTGTTTGATATTATTTAATCTTTTAATTAGTTCATCTCTATTTAAATTGTCAACATTTCTAACAGATAATTTGTTAGCAATTTCTTTTAATTTTTCACTGTTAAATAGTGAATAATTTGTTGGATCATATGACTTCTTTAATTCTTTTAATTGATCTAAATTTTTGTTTTGATAATCAACTATTTTATTTTGTTTACACCAAAGTTTTAAGTTATTAACTTCAGTTTCATATTTAGTTTTATTTTCAAAATGTTTCTTTGAATTATAATGTCTATTATAATTTTTAGATAATATATTCTTATTACAATAAGGGCATAATATATTTTTATTTGTACGCTCCATTTATTAGAAGAAAAATGTGCACGATTTATTAAGAATAATTTTATTTGAAAAAATTATTGTTGTAAAATATAAATATTAAGATAAATATTTATGTGTTAATTTAAAAATTATAAAAGTATTTTAAATAAAACTTAAACTTTTTTTAAAACCAGTAATTTTTTTTAAATAATACTTTCAAAAATTAATATTATTTTTATGAATTTTCTAATTTATTTATGTTTTTATTATGAATTTTAGTTTGTAAATGTTTTTGAAGATAACTAAGCCATTTTAAATCTCTACCACATTCACAATGGGTTGTGACTCTCATCATTTTTCTAACACATTCAATACAAATTGCAAATTTTTTATCTTTACTATAATAATGTTTATGAAAATTTTCCATATCTTTTGTTTCCTTACAATTCAAACATACTTTTTCACTTTTTTCTTCTACTATAATATTATCATATAACTTTTTTCTATAAATTAAATCACATTCTTTACAATATGAAAGTAATCCATCTTTATATTTTTTATTTTTATAAAAATTATTAATATTTTTTAATTGTTTACACTTTGAACATTCCTTCTCCATTTATATAGTATAAAATTTTACAAATTAGTTTTCTTCAATTCGTTATCATAAAAACTACCAAGTATATCTTCATCATTCAAGTCTTTAATACTATATGTAACAGGATTTGTATTATTAATTCTGGAAACAACAAATATTTCTCTTGACCAATTGTTTTTATATTTATTTGAAAAAGTTGATTTTTTGTTTCCTATTCTAACTCTATCATTTATTTTAAATTTAGATTTTGTAATTATTTTTGGTGGGATATATTTAAAAACTGTATTTAATAAATCATTTTCATTTTCTTTATTTACCTCAATTGGTTTCATTTTAATTGTTGAATGATATGAATTATTATATTCTTTAACTATTTCTTTAAGAATATCAATCCATCTAAAATTGTTATTAATTTCAAATAAAACTTTCATTTTTTCATTTTGAGTCCTATTATATCTTTCAATAATACTTGATTTTTCTTCATTTTCTGTATGATACATTTTAATATTATATTTCTTTAAAATTCCATTAAATTCTTTATTTACAAATTCTAATCCTTTGTCTGTATGTAATAAGTTTGGTGGTTTATGGCCAATTTTTATTGAATCTTTAATTATTTGTTCAAATGCTATAGATACATGTTTTCCATCTTTTTTCTTCAATGGTTTTGACCAAACATATTTAGAAAATGTATCAATAACATTCAACATGTATTTATAACCATCATTTTCTTTTTCATAATTTTTCATAATGATTAAATCAGCTGCCCATAAATCATCAATACCTAATGTAACTATTTTTCTTTTTCGAAATTTTTTTCTTATTAGAGCATGAATTTCTTTAGCTTCAATTTTTTGATCTTTTTTATTTAATTCCTTTTTTATTATTGGTTTAATTTCCTTTTTAATTATTTTACTTTTATTTGTTTTACAAATTGAACATTTAGTAGCAATTCTAAACAAACCATTCTTCATTTCAACAATTTCTGGATTAATATTTTTAGTTTTCTTCTTACATTTATGACACTGAATAAGTTCTTCCATTTAGATATAAACATTTTATATATAAATGGATATATGTTATAAATGTCGTAATTTTAATAACTTTACAATTACTAAAAATTATATAGGATGTAATATATGTAAAAAAATTATTTTTGAAAAAAAGATTAATAAACGAAAAAATAAAAACAAACATCTTATAAATATTTTAAGAGAATTTAATCATTTTCAACCATATCGCACACAACAATTAATCAATGAAATCTATACGTTATGTATTTTAGACAATAGTTTTGAAATAACACCTAAAAATATAAAATTATTCTTAAAACAAAGAAATTATACAAACTGGATATTTTACTATCAATTCTTAAACAAAATATTCAATATTGATTTTGAATTAAATTTTGAAGATAAAAGAAATATTACAGTAATTTTTAATGCATATTTCAGTTTTACAAAAAGAAATATATCATTTAAAAAACTATTACCAATGATTTTTAAACTTTTAGAATTGAATTTTTATATAAAACCAGAATTTGATGATATTTTTTTTAAATTCTTAAAACATCTATCAACTTTAAATGATCCATGCATAATAAATTAACATAATGGTTTTTCTGATAACATAAGTGATACATCAGATATTATTTAAAAAAATAGAATTTTAAATATCACACAACAGTTCTAACAAACTGTTGTGTGATATTTAAAATTCTTTTCATATATTTCAATTATTAACTGTTTAAAATTTCTATAATTTTTTTTTGTAATAAATGGATCTATTAGAAGAGATTAATAATATTGGAGAATGTAAATTCAAAGAATATAAACCAATAAAAAGTTTAGAATTGAATACAAAATATAAAATAGAAAAATTTGAAAAAGTTAAAGATAAATATGGACCAACAATTATTGTTGAATTAGAAAAATGTAAAGTTCATTTACCTCATAGATTTATTAATATATTTGATGAAAAAACAATTAAAGAATTAAATAAAAAAGATTTAAACTTAATTATTACTGAAATTAAAACATTCAAAGATAAAGAAACTGTTTTAGTTAAATTTGTATAAAAACTACTCATTAAATTTTAAAATTTTACTTGTTTTTAAAAACATTTTGTTTTGTAGTCAATTTTATGTAAAATATAGACATATTCATGAAAATTTCATCAAAATTATATACTTTTTCTAGAAAAATATGAATATGTTAGAAATTGACCTAAAAGGGTAAAAAATATAGCATATTGTATAAAAAAATAGGAAAATTCATTTAATTTTTGAGTGGCTCCTTTTTTGGCCCAGAAGTGACATGAATATATCTACTTATATATATATATATATATATCTAATATATAAAATTCTCGTGTCACAGTGTTTGTCTGCAAACTCCTCCGGAACGACTTCACCGATCGTTATGAAATTTGGTGTGTAAATTCTGTAGGTATGCGAATCGGACGTAAACTATTTCCCGTTTCGAAATTCTTAAAAGGGCTCCGCCCCAGTGGCTCTGGAGTTTCCCATGTTAACCTTATGAGAAATTGAATTAATGAATCTTAACAGCTGTTTCAATTAAACAAGTTGGTTCTGTTCTATGATGTTCAATAGCATTAAAGTTACAAGGATTACCAACAGGGTGCAGCACTATTATTTCTTTTACATTTATGACAACAGCTAATTTGCAACCAAAAGGTGAGTGAGCGTAGCGAACGAACTTCAACCTGGAGGCGAGTTAGCGTAGCGAACGAGCTAACCTGAAGGCAAGTGAGCGCAGCGAACGAGCTCCAACCTAAAGGTGAGTGAGCGTAGCGAACGAGCTCCAACCCAAAGGTGAGTGAGCGTAGCGAACGAACTTTAACCAGGACGTGATTGAGCGATGCGAACGAGAGAGGCGAGTAGCGAACGAGCTAACCTGAAGGCAAGTGAGAGCAGCGAACGAGCTCCAACCTAAAGGTGAGTGAGCGTAGCGAACGAGCTCCAACCTAAAGGTGAGTGAGCGTAGCGAACGAACTTCAACCAGGACGTGATTGAGCGATGCGAACGAGATCATCTTGAAAATTAAACGTAACGGTACTTTCTTTCCATCGGTCTGTCTTAGGGGAAACCTATAACTTAGGCGATACGAAGTTCGCCGGGTCAGCTAGTATATATATATATATATGAATTTCAACGGATGGTGTTTTTGGCCTCTAGGGACCTCAAAATGAAAAATTAAATCGGTCCCGGGTCCAGGTCTTACCATGAGTACTACGGTAATAGCTTATTCCCTATATGGGAAATTCGCTAAAAACCCAAGACCTTTAATAGTATATTTCATCACTAGGGCCTAAAGGACTCTTTTTGACCCGAGGTCAAGTTTTACGATCGAGGCGAAGCCAAGGTGAAAGAATGATCGAGGGTTAAAAATATGTACATTTTTGTTTTGCCAGTTCAGGGTGCCAGAAGAATGAGTAATCGTTGTTAAGTTAAAACTCGAAAGATGTATATGGGGCAAAGCTTTAAATGAATATCGACATAAGATAGCATAGTTAGGTAGCTCGATTATCTCTGCATAAAACTGTATCTTACTGTTCTAGTGGGTTTCAATTATGTATGGACTATAGACTAACATGTTATAAATAATCGTCCAAACCACTGGTATGGTTAGGATCAAACAATTTACCTCAAATTTGTTTCCCTTGTTCCAGAACAAGGCTCCCTCACAATCGTTAGACGAAGTAGTGCCAAAAAACAGCAACGAACAACCAGTGAAGAAGAAAGTGTTGATAGTGATGATTTGACCACAGACAACCTTCCGGCGATAGACACACCCGACGCTTGTGATAAAGCCGCGGCTAGGTGAGTGTAAATAGATAACAATACAACAATACAGGGTGTCACACAAGTTACAAAATATCAAAAATAGGTGTATTGGGTGAAAAAAATAAAATTAAGAATAAAGTATTTTTCAAAAACCACTCTTTAGTGGGATAACCGGGTTTTTTTCTTATCTGATATCTTATGACGGTAAATTTATGGAATTTTTGCTACTCAATTAAAAAATAACCATAAGCATTTTGATTAAAATATTCTTACCTTTTTCAAAATGGTAGTCGTTTTAGTTTTCATAACTAAAATTACAAAAATATTTTTGATTTTGTAAAAAGGTGTCATGAACACTATTCATTAACATTTAACATTTCCTATGAAACAACACCATGTTTATAATTATCGAATATAAAAGATATTATATACGAGAAATCACTGTTTTAAGACCAAAAGAATTAGCTTAGACTTTTTGTTTTTATAACTACTTATCAATACGTATTTTTGAATATAGTGTTGTTTTACGGAAAATACTGGATGCTAAATAAAAGTGCTCTTGGCAACTTTTTATCGAGCCAGCTATATGATTTTTTTTAAATTCGAATTATAAAAGTAAATAATATTATGCCATCTTTAAACCAAATGTTAATACTTTATGACAATTTCATTTCAATCAGCTTTAATTTTTTATAATCGTATACAAAATTGCATTAATATATATTTAATAGTTTTTAAGATATAAATTTTATTTTTTTTAGTTTATTTTTCGGTTTTTAGAAAAAACTTTGTTTCTAATTATCTTTAATATTGACGACAAACCTATTCTTATATTTATGGGACACTCTGCATATGATTTGGGGGAAAATCTGTTCTAGTCAGCAATAAAAAACAAAAGGTATCTCAGTTTATTCTATAATAATTTTCCGCTCATTATTTAACATAACCAACAATTTAATGCTCATTTAATACATTGATAAAAAATTACGATGGATTATTAAAACTGGCTCTATTAAAATCTATGTGTTTTGAGCATCTTAGTTGGTTTACTTTATTCCCGAATATGTTTTCGTAGACTGTCTTTCGGGGAGATGAAAAGTAATATTAATAGTAAACAAAAAATGAAAATTATTTTATTTTATTTCAAAACTAAGTTTTACGAGCTGCTCTAAAGTGTTTTCTTAATGGTAAAAAAAATATATTACACCGTTCCAGGAATTTTCAATCACACTGTATAGTCTCAAGACACCTGCTGGTATTAGGATGTAGATATTTTTTTGGTTGAACAGGCTTTTAATAAATTAAGTAGTTGTACTGAGAATTTACTATGTGTTAGAATATTTAAACAATATTTATATAATAGTCGAAAACAATACTAGACAAATCAAACTTTAAAGATATTTCAGAAGCTACATTAGTCTTCGGAGTGCTGGATATTTCTTTAACCAAAAATAATTACAACAACAATTCTTGTTTCAGGTTGCGTTGTTTACTAAAACAGTTAGAACGTGGAGAGATCTCGGCTGACGTATTGCAAAAGAATTTGCAGTACGCAGCCAGAGTCCTGGAGGCGGTCTTCATCGATGAAACTAAGTAAGTTAGACTGTTTGCGTGTTATATGTTTAGTTATTAAACGAAGAATGGTCGTTTTTCTGACTATCAGCACCAAACTATCACATCGATGTTTTAGAAATGTTGGTCGCTGGATAACTGAATTTTTGTGTACACGTGGTTATGTAAGTTAATTATGGTAGATGATTGTTTCTTCTCAAGTAGTATTGTTTAAATATTTCAGTTATTTATATGAGAATTGATTGTATTTATGTCAAAAAGCTCAAAAGAATATGCGTTTTTAAATTGACAAAAGTGTTTGTAAAAAATTTTGTTTGTTGTAGCATCTAGTAAACTAGACTAATTTTGTAAGAATGGTTCATTTATTTCAACAGCTTCACTAGATTTGGTTCTATTCTATTTTGCTATTCAAGTTCCAAAACGTTTTCAAATAAAATTTAACCGATGTACCAATGAAATGGTTCTACAAAATGTGTTTAAAACAAATTACTCCTAACGATTTAGAGGAATTAGGTTTATTCGAACTCAAATTGTACATAATATGTTTCGCATAACATTATCCAATGTTCTAGGCGATTCACTATATGTTACATTCTCTTGCATCTTCTTTGTCAGGTCTCCAGGCGTTAGGTTTGTGCATGGTGCACCCCAATTGCCCATACGGATATCCATCATCGAAGGGCCATATGTACTAAATGTGTCTAGCTAGTGTTTGTCCGGCTGTTAGTGTAATGATGATATGGCACAGGCGATCTGACACGAAAGCTGCCACCGACCGTTCTGAAGGAGAGACGACAATCAACATCACCCAGAGAAAACTCAAGACCCCCGTCTGGGCCGTCAGGTTAACACACCTTCTTGGCTATGCAATCTAGGTCCCGAGGAATAGTAAGCACAGCACGGAGAATTCCTTATTAGTAAAACCAACCCTGACACCTTTTTTTAGAAAAAAGATGATTGAGCACTTTAAATTCCAATCCTTTCCAATTTCCAAAGCGTTTCCTCGTCCGGTTAGGGGGATCTCCTTCTTCAGGTACGTTAAGTGTTGCCAGTTGCACGATCCTGTCAATCTGTTCAATGTCTCTTTCAATGGAATGCTGAATGCACTCTGTTCTTGTTTGTGTTTACAGTCGAATGAACCATCTCTTTCTTCCCTGTCTTCTCTCTGATCTTTATTGTGTTGAATAGGTGTGCAGAATTTAACATACGGATAGATATAAGTGATCTGTGTAATATAGTTATAAAGGTATAGTATAGATTAGACAATCATGTTTAGAGTTTAATTAAGATTATATTGTGAATATTAGACTATTCGATAAAAATAATAGACTTACCGTTTATGTATATTGTTTACTTTGATAATATGCATGGATGAGCTTTTTATCAAAAATTTTATTTTAAATACATTACAAATTATCTAGTTCATATTATTATTACTAAACATGCAAATTTATCTAATCAGCACTTACAAATATTTTTACATCTAACACAACACGGAAACCTATTTCATGCTCTATGCTTTTACTTCTTAAGTTTTAGTTAATCTAGCTTTGAATGACATTGGAATCCATCATTTTTGTATCATTTTAATTTTAATATTGTAGGTTATTAACACTATGTACTATTTATAAAACTGTTATGGTTATGAAGATTTTTTAACCGTGTCGAAAATGGGATTTGGTGATAAAATACGACTCAATGTCAAAGATTCAAATTGATAAAATAAACAATTTTACAAAGATATATTTTTTTAAATTTGTACTTAACTTATCACTCTGCATCTTTTCAAAATTAAGTATTTTAGTACGTCTTTAGTGTCTTTAATTCAAGAGACAAAGTATGTTTTATATGAATGAATTTATTTTGTTCGTACTAATTAAATACTCAAATTTCTAATGTTGACACAATTTTGATTCATAAAAACCTTTTTATATATCAAGCTGAATCATATTTGTTGTTCGAGTAATTCTACTCAACAAAATCGTAGGAAAAGTAATTTGGTTTTTATTTAAAAATCTTTTACTGTTCCATCATTGTACCTTTTGTTTCTCTAGTACCGTAAGTACTACATGCATTTATTTATTCAGGATGAATATTTTAAAATGTATACAAGTTTTTACAATAATTATGAGAGGTTATTATGACACAAGTTCGTGCAAATGATGATTTTTGTACGTAGACAAAGATTTTACTATTTATTAGCATAATAATAAATTAGATAATTTCAAATATTCATTTAAATAATAATTCTTTTAATTCTTTAATAAAAGTTGTGTCAATGTAAACTATCGACTTAAATAATGCAGCATGACATAAATGCTAATTTTTAAAGTTGCCAAATCATTTACCAAAATAATAATTAGCTCTAATCTTTGAAAAACAAAAAATTGAAGTAATAATTGGTTAAATAATTTTCAAATTTCTTACTAGAAAACGTATAAAAAATACCTTCAACGATCCAATAGTGTTCAACCAGTATTTTAAATAAACTGAAATTCACCATAGTTTATATTTAATGTAGGGTAACATTTATGTTTAAAGTAAATGACAATTAATCTTTTTTGTGACTACAGACTCGTTGGTTTTTACGTGTTATGTTATGTTATGATGCTAAAAGAACGAAGAAAGATCGAACCACTTCCGAATTAAGCGTGACAAAAAAATGTGTCTAGCGGATTTCAAAAATGCACATAGAACACTAAAAATTTAATTAATTTCTTATATCCATACTAATTATTTGCAATTAATAAAATTCCAAATACTTGCATGCACTTTAAACTTTTGTTTGCCTAAGTCCCCATGTAATTTACTTTTTCTCATCATATCATGTGACATATGCAGTGTCGGTCTTCGGTGTGCTTCAGATTTTAATCAGTATTTTTGTCTCAATTTCGAACATATCTTCAGATTATTTATACACCTGTCTAAAGTTCTTTTGGTTTTTAGATCCTCAGTGAGGAAAAAGGAGCAGGGCGAGGAGTCATCGAGGTTTGTGTAACTGGAATATTCCAGTTCATGTCTGCATTGCTTACCCATTTTCTTATTTCCCCCTTTTAGAACGAACCACACACGAGTCAAATACTCAATAGTTTAGTACAAAACTAGTGCACATTCACTTATCTATCACTAATACGAGAATAGTGAACTAGCTAGGCACATACACTGTAATTAGTGCAAATGTTAATAGTATCTCAATATTATTAGTTTTTAATAAATCATTTTTTACAATTTTCCTTACCTTATATGCATTTCTTCATGAAAACACATACTACGACATGTTCAGCTCATTTACTTAATTTATGATTTCAATTAAACTATTTTTCTTCTTTAATGTGAGTTTAACCAGTGTTATTACTTAGGGTCCTAGCAGAGATGAGGTGGTACTAGACTACTTATATTTTAGGTTAACTTTTACTATTAAATACGTCAATTACAATGATTAATTACTGACTAGATAAAACATTTAATTAAATTAACTTAAACTTGAGACGAATTCCATTTAAGCATTGCCAGTTAAAGTATGATAATTGGGATGTTCACATGTTAAGTACCTAATGATTGATTTGAACTTTGGAAACATCATTTCTAGATTAATGGTTTCACTTAAGAGCATGATGTGACACAATATGTAGATTTGAAATTATAGTATAAGTATAATTTAATTAATAAATAACTAATTAACACATGACAACCCGTTCTAGGAACACGTGTGAAAGCAACTACCTGTTGAATCTTTTATAGTTTTATAAACAAGTTTTTTACTAGCTTTTAAAGGATACATATTTGCTATGAAACTGAAAATTCAAGAACTTGATAATAGTTTATTCGAATAATCAGAGCCTAAAATGACTGCTTTCGGCTGGTAAATGAGCAATGGTCGAAAAGAAAAGAGACTTTTTTCTATCAGATAAACTATATTTTTTGTCATAATGCTCCATTGCCATTATTTTAGTTAAATAGTTAAAAAACATAAATTTCTACCATTGTGTATTTTGTAAAGTCTTTAATTTTTCCCTTCTCCTATTTTATAGGAACTGCTGTTTATGATATCCAAATTACATATTTATAGCCATACCAACACAGTGTTTCCTTCCTGATATTCTGTTAATTTTCAATTTGTCTGAACATCGATGATTTGGTATTTTTTAAGTGAAATATAAACACAATTAATCTTAAAAAAATAAACGTATTTATTAATCGAGACCAACCCATTTTGTAAAGGGTGTTTTTTTTTTTGCACAACCCAAATTAAAAGTACTGTGACACACATTTCAAAGACAAGACAACCATAGTATCCCTTTTTTTCTTTACTTCATTTCCGATCACCTTATATGCGTTGATGCATAGTTCTATGCTATCCTATATATCTATGTTATCTTTAGTGTGGATGGGAATCTATCGTAAATAAGACACATCATTGCGATTCCTCAATCTCGAAGAGTTTGAATAATACGTTGAAAGTAAATCATCGGTTTTATACCAAGAACGTTTTGAAATAAAGTTTCTAGATTTGATTTCAGTACCTAATAAATAACCTGTTATTGACATATAAGAATTAAAGGAAACCAAATCCAAATTAAGGAATACTTAGATTTAAGCTAAGATCAAATCAGACAAATGGAAATTCGCTTAGTCTGCATGTTTGCTGCGACGAGGGTATTTTTGTTTAACCCAGATTCGGTTTCATTAAATTTATAAAATATCAACAATAGTTCCAATTTAAGGTAACCGAATCTGTAGTTAACAAAAACACCCCCGCTGCAGCAAACCTGCTGACTAAGTGAATGTACAGATGACTGATTTGATTTAAACCATGTTGTGTCTTATTTACAAAAAAATATATAAAATAAAATTAACTTGTTACCATGTTCAATATCCTTTTATGCTTTCGACGACCGGTTTCGTGACAACAATCGCATCATCAGGCCAATCCTCGTAGAAAGATTCGTTATATTATATACATAAAGTTTTACTGGACACAAAACAAAAACACATTATATTTACAACGTTTTTATAGACAGAAACCATCGCGATGCGTGCACGCTTACATCGAGCCGGCCGCGACTCAAGTTACAAAAAAATCCCAGAGTCACTAAACCTCATTGATAACTATGCAACGCATATCAGCTGATTGGCAATGGAGTAAAGAAAATTGTGATACCAAAATATGAGGCTGTCATTAGAATGTGTCTTACAGTACATCTAATTTGGGTTGGGCGTTATAAATAACACTCTGTATAATCAGCAAACGAATTTTACATCTAAACCGTTTACAGCTGATCTCCTCAACTTTAGTTGACTCCTTTAGATCCACAACGCTTATATTTAATCCGCTGTGTATGCTGGAGTATGAAGAAAATTGTGTATTACTTCAGCAAGACATGATCGTAATACACTAATTATCGTACAGCATGCGATATGAATAAGAAAAAGAAAATTGATTGCCATTGACCAAGTTGTACATGCTCATGTCGATGTTGTTAATACAAGTGTCGTTAAAGTTTTGAGGTGGTTTAATCCAAAATAATCAAAAGGTGTTTGGTTTTCCAATTATTTCTTTCCGTTTAAACTAATGGTACAAACTGTGGACTCCGCTATTTAGTTTTAAAATACCATCTTTCATCATTACCAAATAGTCAACCACATTAAGAAACACAAGTTGAGTAACATCAGTGCACTCAAACCTAATTTGACATGAAACTCACTTTAAAACTTTGGATGTTAATATAAGACACCAGGTCTATTTGAAATATTTCCAGTGATGATTCCAAGCTATAAATTTTTATACAAGAGGCAATGATAGTTTACCGCTTGATGGTTAGGGGGGTTTATACATAAATAGGCGATTGAAGTAATTAAGTTGCATCGTGTAGAATAAGTCTTACTTCGTAAACTTTGCATCAAAAATCATGCAAGTAAAGGAAATCATTATTGGATTTGCACTATTTATTTTATAATTTGTTTATATCGCCGCACATGAATGAATTAGGTCTTGACCCATGAATTCCTGGTTTCTGCATGAATAACCCAGCATCATTCTGCATATCATCAGCAACTTTACTCTAAATTATTTTAATGTTGTCTGAAGAATAGTCATAGATAACAATTCGGTTTGTAAACTCACTAGTCTACCCAGTTAGTTTTGCATTGATTAGCATTTTGCAGGATGTCCACTACTTCAGTGCTTCACCATATTTAAACCTGATTCTTGCGTTTAACCATTGTAAGAGGTAATTGTTTAATCTAATTGTGTTTTGATAATTCAGTAACGTTTTGGTTGGGTAGTCCAGTAAGGTATCTATTACTGAATTATTTTTCTACATTGAATCATCTTAAAAACATTTTGGGCGTTATTCGACAGTTTCTAAGCAGTTAAGAAAGCAGTTAACTTCGAGGGATCTATAAAAACAATTTCAACAGATAAAGCTGCGCAAACAAATATCTAGCATGAGTAAAAAAACCTATACAAACTTTTTTTTACTATATGAAACTACAGTAATAAGATGTTTCAATGTGCCAAAAGTTTTTAACTAATCTTTTCTTTATATGAAATATTTTCCTTTGAATGTTTTGTCACTATAAATATAGAACTGTAGCGGTAGCTCGAAGGACTCGTCAACCGTTATACAGTAGTGGGAAAATAATGCATACGATATTAATTTCAAAGTCAACCAACCAGAAAGAGGAATGTATTTTATATTGTTTTTCGGAAGATACTTATATTCAAAACAATACTGAACAGTTAAATAACTGTCTATTTTCACATTCCATTTATTTTTACTTAAGATTTTTATCGAAATTAAGTCCCCTAAAACACATTACTTGAAAAGTTGTTTTGAACCTTTGTTATTCAATTGAAATGTTGTTTTTACTTAAGGCTATTGGTGTAAAAATGGATTGATTCAGTTGTTAGTAGGTGAGGCTCTTTTGATTAATTTATATGATAATTGTATAACTACCAATATTTGAAAAACTGAAGAATAATTGCCATTTGGCTGGTTACACACTCGTTGTCAGTCAGTCCTTCGGTATTGTCTAAATAAAATAACTTCAAATAATGCTTATTCACATATAATATTCAAACATAAATCCCAAAGTACCCATGAAATTTTGACAAAACTACAAGTCACACCCCCCATAAACGATCTTAAAATGTTCGTCATGACGAGAAACCTTGCAAAACTATACATTACTTCATAAATTTCCCTTTATTAAGGTCGTAATTATTTGTTTGTTATTCTTTAAATTTATTACCTTATTAAAATCAGGTGTGAAATTTGTTTGTATTACTACTGTATTCTGTTTTGTTTATTTCAACTTAACTTAACCAATTAATAATTTTATTAATACTTATGAAGTCAAACGTGGTGAAGCCCGTCGGGTAACAGCTAGTTTTTTTAGTACTCTTTTTTATCTACTTAATTTTCTAATTTTTACTTTGCATGAAAGACACATTGTAAAGACACATTAAGCAGGCTACTTAATTTATATTTTATGCATGGTAATTAATTTCTAATGTTATTAAATTACTTATAATAAACTAGCCTTTGGCAAACCTCTTTTTGGGCCTTGTTAGATAAAACTGTTTTAATTTACAAACCACAAAACGGTCTACGACTTTAGGTATCTACGATACTGAAAGTATCTTAACTGTAAATACATAAGATATACTATGTAATCTCATCTTCAACAATGGTAACGAATCCACTTTAAACCTAAAAGATAAGAACTTAATTTCTTAAGTATATAAGGATCAAACTTCTTATTAAACACGAAACAAAGTTATTTGGGAACCTTATGAGTATTGCATTTACCAACATTGAGATACATGTTTGAAAATAAATCAATATTTTCTGTTTGAGCCAACAGATTTTTTGAAACTATACTAATACAATGCGAAATTTACACAAGCAAACAAAAGTCCATGCTCTGGCTATAGCTCGGTGAAGAGACATGTGTAATGAATTTCTTAATTACCTACTTTAAGTCAGTGCAGTAGAATAAATTAAAATCGTCACACATACTCAACGCTGTCTTAATAATATTTAAATGTTTCATCATCATTACTACTGTGCACCCGTTTACTATATCCGTGTGTTTATTTACTTTTTTCAATGTTTTGCCATATTTAAACCTTTGCTTCATTTTTCAAACTTTGTTTACGTCCAAAGGAAACCCCTGATTTGGACAGACTGTTTGCTTTTTTGACCACAGTGATATTACATGACATTATCACGTTATAAGCCATTTGTAGTCAGTTGTATACTTAATAAAAAGGTTGTACAGTAGTATAATAAATCTATACTATTATATAAAAATCTAGTGGTGTCTGTCTGTATGTGTGTTACTAATAAGCGCATAAACTACTGAACTGACTGGGCTTAAATTTTACAAAAATATAGTTACCATACCAAGGACCATTATAGGACTATTCTCACTTCGATACTGACCGTGAGCTTTGCCCCTTTGGCTTTAAAAGTTCTGAGGTGAGGATTTTAAAAGTAAATATTGATTGGTCTCCATGGCTGCCATAAGAACACATACAGTGTTTACAATTTGCTATGCCACCCAAATGTAAATAAGCTGAACTGTCAAACCACATTAATTCACAATTCCACAGCTGGTTTATAAATAGGCATATAATATTCTCTACAATCATGTGACATGTTGTTCTTATATTTGATGGTTCATTGATTATTGATTTTATGAAATAAGTGAGATCGTATATCTGTTGCTGTATCTAACCCTTATTAATTATTTAAAATTTTGCTAATGTGAATGATTGTATTGAAAGATTTTGGTGTAAAAAATTGTGAAATTATAAAGTTCACATTTACTTGAATCATTTTAACATTTTTGAACATTTATGTGTTTAGAGTACGGCACACACCTTAAAAATTGAAACTTTTTTCTCAAGGAGATAATTAATTGTATATCTTTGCAATTTTCAGAGAAATATCGTTCACACCATTTGCTTTTTCAAAAATTTTTGAATCATAATTTCATATTACAACCCATAGATTAGTTATGATGTTTTCTAATCCAGAGGTAGTACTACCTATATTATAACTTTTGACACTTCCTGTAGAGTTCACATTCTATTCTAATATGTCTTCATGTCATTCAAACCATAATATTAACCAGATGTTGTAAATTATTGTTTGTCTATATTTGATTTTATCATTTAAAATAAGTAAAAGCTTTGAATTTTTTATTTGTTTTATTGTTTGAATTTTTTTTAATGTAATTAGTAAGTTAAAAGTTTTTGATAGGTACATTTATTGGAATTTAATCTTATTTTACACTGTTTTTAATTTCGGATTTAAAAAAGCACCACTTAAACATACATCAACCCCGGACGAAGGACGGGTACTCTGCTAGTATGTAATATATGCTTAAGAGCACTTAAGGCTCGATGTCTGTTTCCCTACAATGATTCAGACATTCAATTGTTTATTTATTTATTCTTTTGTTTTTTTTTTACATAAAATATTATTGAGTTAAGCATCTGACAGAGTGTGATACTGTAATAAGAATTTTCTTGTTCATAAAAACATTTTAATTGAGTTCAATCTGCAGACAACTCGTTGTAAATGATTTACCAAAGATACATCAGCATCATTAACTGTGGAATGCATTATAATTGAAATAATTGAGTCACGCTCTTTTAGTTACTTTACTCAACTAATTATATTCGTAAAAACTGGCAACGGCTGATCCTGAAAATTTGTGGCATACAAGTAAGTGTGATTAAAAATTGACAACAGTTGTCTCGAAATTATTTTGTTCCATTCTCTATTTTTTTTTCATATATTTTAACTGGTTAGGATTTTAATTGCGCAAAAGAGTTCCTTAACCACGCCAAGCCCTCAAAGAGTTTCAAAAATGTTCTTTAGTTGCGCTAAGTCAAGGGAGTGGGGAGTTTCCGACAGAACGAATATCCTTGCTTACATGTCCTACCGAACCTAACCTACTCAATTAATTATACCGTCAAAGAGGGCCGCCACTTGGTGCAGTTAATGAACGTATCGGGTGGCTCCCTGGAGTAGTTGGCGCAATTCAGGAATACCAGACTACCTTACTCAGGTTAGTTGGCACAATTAATGCCCACCCATTTGAACTACCTACACGTGCATCATATATTACCCTATTGCTAGCACGTTAAAATATTACGGTAACATCATAGAAAGTTCCAACGGATAACCATAAGGATGTTTTTGTTACTTTTTTATCGTCCCATGTCTTTCATTATGAGTAAAGTTTAAAATAGTTTCATCTTTTCTCTAATTGAAATAGACTTGTCCATTAAAGCGATTGCTTCATGTTGTGGAAGCCCAAGCTCAATCCTGGCAATCACCAAAAGCTATTAGCCTTTCGATAATATTAAGATTCAATGGTTTGGAGCCCACTTTTAGCAGAAGATGACCAATTCAGATGAATTAACATTTTAGGCGAGAAAACTGACCTAAAAGATTCGTCTTCATTTAAAGCCATACTATATATATTTTTAAATCATTTTTAAGGTATTCCAAAACTATTTCAGCAACGCCATTGTTTACAAAATTCTGTGTATTTATTATTGTTAGCATTATTGCTTGGATTCCATTGTATTATAATATTTTCCTAATAGAAAATATTAGGAAACACGCAGTAATATATGGAAATATTATATTAGGCACACTTCTTCCTAATGGAAGAAGTGCGCCTCACATGTGTGCTAATAGTAGGCTTCTCTTTTTCAAAAAAATATATTAATGACGTAATTTAACGTCGTAAACTTAATATTATCCTTAAAACTTTGAGATTTTCACAGTACTTTTACTTCAGTCCATGTCAGCAAAATGCATATGCTCGTGGTTGGATAATTTTCCAATCATCTTTCCGTGCTACATTGTTTGCCTTCTTTTCCTCTTGTATAATAAGAGAAATATTTGTTAAACCAGTGTTTGGACTGTGTTTATGTGTGCTAATGGGTACACAGCACATTAAATGCGAACGAAATGTTTTTTTTCGGCAAGGAATAAACAAAACTATGTACTTAAGAATTTTACCGAGATGGAATATGCTCAACCCTAGATCTATAAAATTGTGGAAAATTGATTCTTGATCTTCTGGAAAAAATACTAATCTATAGTTTTTACTGTCCATTTTTATAATACTTCACTTCTACATTAGTATCTATAGTAGGAGAAATAGTGGATTCATTGTGGAGCATATTTACAGTATCGCATTGTATTAATACTTTCCTGAACTATAAGCGTCCTGCATTTTTATTGAATCTAATCGTGATATGTTATTTACACTTTATACTCTTCGTCAATTTTCTATTGAAAAATAAGGTGCACGTTCATTTTTAAGTGTTTTTGGGAAGTTAAAGTCTTAGTTGAATAACTTGGAAAATATTAACACGACCAAAGCCCCGATATGTATATTAATAATTTACAATCTAAAAAAATCCTCATAAGCCAAATCCCTTAAATTATTTTAACTATGATGCATCAAGATATGAGGTTTACGCACAGATGCGCACCCATAACTACTATACCACCAATACTTTAAAATGAACGTGCGACGCATAGACTAAGTAGAACACCGATTGCATTTTCCTTTTGTTGTTTGATCGTGGCATGGCTCCCCAGCATGTCTTCCCTTGGTAACTAAGGTCCGTTGGTTACAGGAGGTTGGCGGACGAGGATGACGAGCTGTCCGAGGTACAGCCGGACGCGGTTCCCGCCGAAGTACGAGAATGGCTCACCTCCACATTCACGAGACAGCTGGCACCTACGAGGTGTCGGAAGGAGGAGAAGCCCAAGTTTCGGTCAGTCGCCCAGGCCATCCGAGCAGGGATATTCGTTGACCGAATCTATCGGAGAATGGCCGCCAGTGGGTTTATGCAGTTTTCACCGGAAATCGTCGAGGTCTTAAAGGTAGGTTAAGTTAGGTTAGTTTAAAGTATTATAGCCCACAGAGAATTAAGGAACAGAGGATACACTCCATGGTACTTTTAAGTGGTGTCTAGCACTAGTGCTGGTGTATAGAACAAAGTCCAACACTGCTACGCTACCATGTGAATAGAAATTCCACCTGTTTGATAGAAATTACAGCACATTGCCCTCCGTTTGGTTTGGGCTCTTCCTTGCCCGTCACAAAACAGTATGTTTCCTGCACAACATGCTAGAGCTGAAAGTGCAAGGTTGTCCCAAGGGTGTTTCCTCTGTACCTTACTTCTCTGTGTATATAGTAGGTTACGAGTTCAGGGATGAGCTACATCAACTAGTAAATGCATTGTAACTTATCTATTTTTTTTTTTTCATTGAAACAAATCATCATAAAAGTTCGAATACTCATATTATTGCAACTTCGAAAGACCAAGGAACATAAGTTATTTATAGTTTGGAAAAATACAGAAACCAACCCAGGCATATAAACCAACTCCTGATCCAATGGGTGGTTTGGTAACGCGAAAAAAATGTAAATGCACTTTCATTAATACAAATATCCGAAAAACAAAAAGCAAATGAATATTTTTTTCCCACGGGGTGAATTGTTTGGTTGAATCTTGCTGTGAAATCCACGTACAAATAAAACTCATATCAGCGCTTTCCGCCTGATTCGACAGAGCCAAATCCAACAAGGGATGTTCTCTGCGATAAACACATTTAGTTGCACAAACATATCGGCTGCTTTGCATACCCGGTTGTCGATCGCACATCTATATTTTCATGTTTAGTTTGCTCCGAGTATTCAACATGCACTTTGCCACGATCCGTGTGTTGTTGAACCACTTTAAAGCTTTGTTGGTCGTATGTATGACACGTTTTTTTACTATACATGAGTTATGTATACAGTTATCAGATAGGAGTTAATTTGAATGGACGAATTGGCTAGTTTATGCCGAGTAATGGCATCTAAGGTTAAATATGTTTTTCATTAGACATGGCCACAAGATTTAAATATATTTACAAATTGTTTTCTGAAAAATGAAAAATTCTATCCAGTCTCACAACGGGAAGGACAGCAAACTTGGAGATCATATAATTACGTATTTACAATTTATAAGTACAACCTTTGACTATTGATACAGCAATACATGTCATCCCCATGTTAAAGTTGACGTCTGTTTTCTTGCCAAAACCATCGTAGGATGACACTGATAGATTGTGCTGATTGTGCTGGTATAAATTACTGACTTAGCCTATATCGAATACTAAACTTTTTTACTTAGTCAAACTGATGGAACGACTTATTGTGAGCTATAGCAATTTTGTGATGACTCATCAACTAGCGCATTCTGTGACTGCCTTATACAAATAAGTTGTTTTTAATAGAAAAAAATGGCAACAGCTGGTTATTTTTTTATTAAAAATATTTATAGTTCTCTTGATATATGGCTTTGTATAAACCATTTACAATATTATCATTTCATACTACTTCAAACCTAACTGTTTCAGACATTGAATTTTAGTAGTTAAAACACCAGTAAATAACGTGTTCTGGGCTGCGTTTGATAAATTCTTTATCGGATGAAATGCAGGTTTGCTGCAGCGGGGGTGTATTCATTTGCTGTTAAATGACGAACATCCATAATCGATTAGACGTCGGGCAATAACAGTGGAATCACCCTTACACAATTTTAAGAATGCTCGCTAAATACACACGTACACAAAAACACTGCAAATGTAATTTCTTTAGAAAAACATTTTTACTGTTAACACTTCATCACTCTTTGACACAAAAAAAATATTTCCTTCAAAAATCACCAATTTTTTTTATTCAGGGAGTTACTTTGATTACTTTTAAGAGGAAAACTTAAAATGATTTTAGTTCAGGTGACCGACGGTTCTTCAATGCTTTAGTACTAGATAGAGGGCACGGCAGCCCATAGCGATGGTAAAAAAATCCATTTTCTGTGCTATAAGTGCTGTTTGTAATATGCAAGCAACAATTTCACGTTGGGAGAGGGAGGTACAATATTTCACCGATGTGGAGCGCTAAGAGCGCCCTGGATGGACCCAGCTGTTGTCTTCATTGAACCACTTTATAAAGAGGACAGCAATGCTTCTGTGTGATTTATTATGATGGAAATATACATAAAGTTTCTCTCCTGAAGATTACATTGGGTAGTTTATTTAGTTGTAGATTTTATTTTCAATAATATTCCTTCGTCCATACAAAGTGTCTCGAATGTAAAACAGCCAAACTCCGGGAAATGGTTTTATTGGTCAATATAAAACAAAATTAAAGAATACAATTTTGTGGTACCTATTAAGGGAGATATATGCCGTAGTTGTTTTAAGTTTCATGATGGGTAGCCTCTGGACCATACAGCAACAATAATAATGGTTTAGTTTACCTCTGTCAATATGGCCCTTGCGTAGTTTGTCACTACTGCAGTTTCGTGCTCGTGGAGCACATCATCAGGTGAAGGTCACAAAAAGTTAAAACATTTTCCTTACGTGAAGGTCGTCAATTAACACACCGAAAAAACACATAACACACGAACGGTACGAAAAAACATTTAAGGGTGTTTGGTCGCAAATTTTCATGTCTGATTTTTTGTTATTGTTTAATTGTACTAAAAATTAGAGATACAAATATATAAGAAAAAATGTTTTATTTTGAATATTAAGCGAGATATGGAGCTTGAAAGTAGTAAATTTGTAATCTTTGGTACCAGTTCACAGGGAGAATGGGTAATGCGATTCTCACCAAAATTTGCATTCAGGTGTGGAAAAATAAGATAATAATCACTAGCTATTTAAAATTAAAAAATTAAAAAAAAAAATATTTTTTATTTTTTATTATTTTTTTTTATTAAAAAAAAATTAAAAATAGCTCTTTGTTTTTGGGAAAAATGTATCTGTATGTTGGAATAAAAAAAAATGTGATATGTTAACTCGTTTGGGCTGTGAATTCGTACCTTTGATGCCTTGCGCTGTCGGAGCACTACTCGTTGAGAGTTTGTACACTAACACCGGGGCTTTAGAATACTTTAACATCACGTAATTATTAACATCCTTTAACATTGAAAGAATACGTTTATCCTTGTACTAGCTGTAACCCGCGGGCTTTGCCCCGTTTAACTTCTTAATTTTCAAGATTATCTCGTTCGCATGGCTCAATCACGTCCTGGTTGAAGTTTGTTCGCTACGCTCACTCACCTTTGGGTTGAAGTTTGTTCGCTACGCTCACTCACCTTTGGGTTGGAGCTCGTTCGCTACGCTCACTCACCGTTAGGTTGGAGCTCGTTCGCTGCGCTCACTTGCCTTCAGGTTAGCTCGTTCGCTACGCTAACTCGCCTCCAGGTTGAAGTTCGTTCGCTACGCTCACTCACCTTTTGGTTGCAAATTAGCTGTTGTCATAAATGTTAAAGAAATAATAGTGCTGCACCCTGTTGGTAATCCATGTAACTTTAATGCTATTGAACATCACAGAACAGAACCAACTTGTTTAATTGAAACAGCTGTAAGATTGAATAATTCCATTTCTTATAAGGTTAACATGGGAAACTCCAGAGCCACTGGGGCGGAGCCCGAAAGGATTTTTGAAATAAGAATATGCCTATATGTTAATCGTGAATGTGAGCTATCATCATGCCAAATTTCAGCCCAATCCGACCAGTATTTTTCGCGTTCACTTGTCACAAACATACATCCATACATCTAAACTTTCTCATTTATAATATTAGTAGGATTCTAAAGCCCCGGTGTTAGTGTACACACTCTCAACGAGTAGTGCTCCGACAGCGCAAGGCATCAAAGGTACGAATTCACAGTCCAAACGAGTTAACATATAAAATTTTTTTTATTCCAACATACAGATACATTTTTCCCAAAAACAAAGAGCTATTTTTAAATTTTTTTAAATTTCTTTTTAATTAAAAAAATGATAAAAAATAAAAAATAAATTTTTTTTAATTTTTTAATTTTAAATAGCTAGTGATTATTATCTTATTTTTCCACACCTGAATGCAAATTTTGGTGCGAATCGCATTACCCATTCTCCCTGTGAACTGGTACCAAAGATTAAAAATTTACTACTTTCAAGCTCCATATCTCGCTTAATATTCAAAATAAATAATTTTTTCTTATATATTTGTATCCCTAATTTTTAGTACAATTGAACAATAACAAAAAATAAGACATCAAATTTTTGACCAAACGCCCTTAACTTGGCCAATACATTAAAGACGTTACACACGGGGTCCGGCATGACTTGCCTTCTACCGGCGCCGGACCCCGTGTGTAACGTCTTTAATGTATTGGCCAAGTTAAATGTTTTTTCGTACCGTTCGTGTGTTATGTGTTTTTTCGGTGTGTTAATTGACGACCTTCACGTAAGGAAAATGTTTTAACTTTTTGTGACCTTCACCTGATGATGTGCTCCACGAGCACGAAACTGCAGTAGTGACAAACTACGCAAGGACCATATTGACAGAGGTAAACTAAACCATTATTATTGTTTTAAGTGTTTAACTTGATATCTATAAAACTATTTAAATTAAATATGCGTTTTAAAGTGGCAATGGAATATTTGTAGTTAAACAATAAAAAAAATCTTTTAATACAGGGAACTAATGTTTTTACGGTTCAAACTGAAACCAATACAAGTTTTGCTAAATACATGCCTATTATCTATTTTTAAATTTAAAAAACACCATGTTTTGGAGTCTTCAAACCACTAAAGCGGACATGAGCAGAAACCTCAAAAAAGTAAAATATGGTTGGAAAGCTTATAAAATGGCACAGTTGTCAGCATACTTTGCTACCTTCTTGTATACAGAGTGTAGAAAAATTCAATACACTAATGTTTTTAAATCTTTATTGTAGACATTAATTTTTATTTTGGAACTATTACAATGGAGTTTTTACGATTGATCCTCCATCATTTGCTATTATTCTCATTCAAGATTTAATTTAGAATACAA